TCTAGTACTCAGAGTCCCAATCCTCACGTGCTTTGCGCTGGTCGCATAAATTAAACCATTCTTGCTCACTGTACCATTTTCGACAACGAATTCCTTCTGGCCAGAATTCAGGGGATTCAACGATTTCTGAGCACAGAGGAGAAATGTTAATTTTGGCCGTCCTGACTGAAAATCGGCCTCTCTGTATGAAAAGGGCAAGATGCGTTACGCGTACACCTTTATTTTCAAGATAGTTCTTTATACCATCATACGTTGTTTCCTTATCTACACCGGATAGAAAGTAACGAGCCGCTTTTTTATATGTGACCCCCTTAAAAACATCTTTGTGTATGCTTTTAGCTTGTTCATGTTGTTTTGGTCGTGGTTGATCGTCGACCGTAATTGTACAGGTGTCCCCGTTATAATTTACCGATCTGGCATATTTCTGCGTGTGGTATTCAGAGCATGACGGCGAGTCGAACACGTCTTTCGCTGGGGTATTATTGTTATTATCTGTCCTTTTAAAGCTAGGGGCGCTCTCAGAGGTGTTAGACTTAACTGGGGTTGATACCATCCCGTCCTCTTGGGACGAATTAGCATCATTTGTGTCAAGTGGATTATCCATACTAGCGCGTATGGACTGGATACCTTCAATTATCTGTGTGGAATTGGGAATTACCATTTTTTCACAGTTGTCAGATCCCCGGTGCCCTGTCTGTTTGATTTCATCGGGATGTTTGGACAGAACACTTGCATACGTTTTGTTTGGACTCATTGAATTGACCTGTCGTTGGAAATTTTGCGTATGTGAGTCGTTTAAGATCATTTGCTATTTTGGTTTTGAAAGTTTGACATTCTGACTGCTCATCTTCAATACGTTTAAAATTGCTGTTTGCAAGCTTTTTGAAGCAGTCATATTTTGTGAATTTGGATGTTGATTCAGCCTTTAATTGTTCATAATCGTGAGAAAGTTGGTCATGCTGGGATCGAAGTGTTTGTAGGTCAGAAGTCAAAGCCTCGTTTTGTCTTTTGACCGATTAGATTCTTCTATTTCATTCATACGTTGTAGAAGAGTTTGAATGGAGACACGAATTTCGATCAAATTGACTTTTGAGATGTCACAAGGAACGGGTGTTGATTTGCTTTTGTCAAAAATTTCATGGATACTAGATTTTTCGCCATGCGTAAACATATGTAACATATAACAGTCTTTCGCATACTTCATTCTACAAGTACTACTTTTGGTAGTTTTCCTGTTAATGAGTTTTCCTTTTGGACAATCGGGGAGTTTCAATATACGTGAATGTAAAACATTTCGATACGACCATACTCTGCTTTTATCATTGAGACAAAGTTCGAGTAACTTGCTAATGTAAGTGTCTTTTGGCAAATTATGGAGTAGGTTATCGAAGTTCTGAAATTCCGTTACTTCGGACCCCATGCTGTCAGAAGTTTTTGAGTTAACCTGCCACTGACTACCTAAGAATTCATTGTTAACTTGGTTGAGGTGATTATGACCATCTTGGTATTCACTTTGTGTTAAGTTAAATGTGTCCTGTAATTCATGAGATACCGGGTAACTGAAAACACTACCATCGTAAGGAGTGTTCACTACCTCCGTGGTAAACAATGCAGCAAACTGGTCATTTTCAATAGAGTTGTCACAATTTAGCATATCAGTCAAAAGACCATTTCTAGAGTCACTTACTGTAACATTTTCAGAGCATGAAGTACCATTTGGAGCAAGATCTGCCGATAACTGTTTCCGAGACGGTGTCCCCCGTCCAAAACTATTAGCCGCCATATTGAATGCCCACTAAATGGTCACTGAAAGGTCACTGAAAAGACCCTTTCCCGTGACCTTTCCGTGATCATTCAGTTACCATTCAGTCGACTGAATGGCACGTATATTTCAGTGACCTTTCAGTGATCATTCAGTGAATCTTTTTTATTGAATAATCGGCTTATTTTGGGGGTAGAAAAATTCATTTTTCTTTTTCCTTGTATAATCCTATTCTCAAATCCATATCTCATGCTTGAAAGTCCGCGACCTTCTCAATTAAGCTTCGATAACTTGTTAATTGATAGAGATTTAAAATCAATCAATTAGTAAAAATTGTTTGAACAATCAGTTCACCTGTTGTATCGAGGAGCTGCGATGTGTATATATCTTGTATATCTTTTGTATATTCTATGTTTGTTGCGCAGATTTTGGTGACAGACTGATTAATTACATAACTCCTAACGGGATGTTGACAATAATCAGCGACGGGCACCTGTTTCTGTGTCAGAGATTTGAGATCGGTGTAAATTCTCTATCAAGAATCTTAACATGCTTAGTAATAGTAGAATGATTTCAAAACAATTATTTATATCAATTCAATGCTAAAATCTACAATACTTAGTTGGTTCTACAAGAGGCATGAATATATGATTTATTCTATTCATGTAATATTATTTTAAACGATGCCTTTCAAAAGCTAAAATATTCTGCGGTTTTGACAATTAAAAAAAAAAACTTTTTAGGTTCTTCCAGAAAAGGTGTAAATAAATATTTTTATACGAATTATGCCTCATCTTTCAAAACCTGATATTTCCATGAAAAATGCATGCCGTATAAGCACTATAGAATGTGAAATTGGTTTTCTAAATTTAATTAGAAAATTAAAAAATCATTTTCAATAAGTATCATTTATTTTTAAAGAAATTATAATAATTATTTAGACATATTTTTAAGGTACCCGAATTTAATCACATTAAAAAAAAACCCACACAATTATTAAGATTGAAAAATAAATCTTTATTCAAAGTATTTCTTCATTATAAAGGACAAATATCTGATTTTAAATTATTAAGCTAGTGAGAAAAAAAATCATGGAAAGGTCACTGGAAGTCGACGGAAAGGTCACTGAAAGGTGACAGAAAGTTCACTGAAAGTCGACGGAAAGGTCACTGAAACTTGACGAAAATCTGTCCGCTGAATGGAGACTGAAAGGTACTGGAAATGAGACTGAAAGGCAACTGAAAGCTCACTGAAATGTATGTGCTATTCAGTGGCTGAATGGCCACTGAAAAGTCACTGAAAGCCGCCTTTCAGTTTTAACTGAAAGATCTTGTTTCTTCCTGTGCACGTGTTAGTCTGTTCTTGAATAAAGTGCTACTTTTTTAACATTTGCGAAAACGATAAAATATTTTTGAACCCATTTGTCATGTATCAAGAGAAAGAATCTTCAAATTAACTCAAAGTTCTACAGTATCTCATTCAGCCATGACTAAAATATATTTTAATATGTTATATATTTGTATGAAACAAACTTCAAATTGTTGTATTAATAAATATTTTATCTACAGGGCCTTGGCAGAAAGCGATTGAAGATTGACACCTTTTTTTGCACTAGTAAAACGACAATCCTGATCCTGATAGTTCTCTAAAATTAACAAGATTGGTGATGGAGGGGAGGATGGACGCAGTAAAACAAATTATAAAATGTATCCTTCATTAATTACTTATAACAAGCTGGATGTTATTGAAAGCGATAACACGTAGATCTGCAAGAAAACTATGATACATATAAGATTTTATTATATTTTAACAAATCAATTGATCAGGAATATATATATTTGCATGCGAAGAAAACTCGAAAAGAGATAAATTGCCAGAACATTTCCCACGGACCCCTTTCTACATCATATTTTTTTGTAAATTTACAATGACTCTGATAGCATCCAACAAGAGAAATAAAATGACAATTTATTAACATTTTTCAACAATTCGAATACATTGTTATTATGATGAATTCGATAATATGGTTAGTTTTTAGACCCCCTAAGAGCAAAAGAAAACTTATTCACAAATCAAATACTTTATAATTATTATAAGTTCCTTGCGCTAAACGACCCTAAATATGAGATCCTTAGCACTCAGATCCCTAAAATTGACAAGACTTTGGGCTAAAAGTACATAATAAAACTTACAAAAGTACGCTCTTTTTTGTTTTTTGTTTGATTTTTTTTTGAGTAAAGTCAAGATATATATGTATTACACATAGAAAACTTAAATGCATGAAAACGTAAAAAAAAATATGTTATTTTCTGTACATCGTAATTTATGAAGGGTATGGAGATAACGAGTAGTAATCAATCTTAAAGTACTGGTACTGGTACTGGTCCTGCGTTATACATATTGTGCGTGAGAAGAAAATTGACTTATTATATCAATTGAAGAGAATCATTGTTTTAAAATAAATATAAGTTGCTAAGAGAGAGAGAGAGAGAGAGAGAGAGAGAGAGAGAGAGAGAGAGAGAGAGAGAGAGAGAGAGAGAGACTCATTCTCTTACATTATCTTAATGTTGATCATTCTTTTCTAATATAAACATTTTATTATGTTTTTACATAACAATCTTTTTTTAATCATCAACTTCACTGAAGCTTTTTTTTTCTCAAATATATAGGTAAACGGAAAAAAAGTTAAATTCATTTTATTTGTATTAAGATGACTAAAGTTATTTCTTTTTCAATATTTTCGGTACAAATCTGTTTGTACTATCTGTCCGTGGTGCAGAAAGATGGATAGGGCGAACAGACTCGATACCTCGTAATACTTAATATACTAAATTAGATCGGAAAGACAGGGTCTAAACGTAAGAGTATTTTATGAATATTTTTATCAATGAAATTTCAAGGAAATGTGTAGAAAGCAAGTATTTGTGGCGTGGAGCACCTATGAAATAGACGCTTTATTAAATTATCCTGAACCTAATAACAAAGGTTTTCCCCATTGGAAACCCCATCACCATAGTAAAATAACAGTCTACTTTCGTTTTAGTTAAGGATAGAAATAGATATATTTAAATACCTGTGATGAAAAGAGCTTGGCAATCTCATACTTTTAATTAAGAAAAAAAAATATCTGTAGTACTTCATAAAATTCGACAATAAAAGAGGTTAGTGTAAATATATTAAATAAGAATTTCCCTTTGCAGGCCCCTGGTTACGAAAAACAAATAAACTTCCACCATAACTCGGCGAAAGACATGTCTCTAGGTAATATGATTTCGATTAAAGGTTTTCCAAATTATTGTAAGTGTAGATAGATAGAAATTTACATTTTATTGCATATTATTTTTGAGAGATAGGAAGAAGAAAAAAAATTCCAGGCTATAATCATGATCTTTAAATGAAATAGATACTTTTAATTCAATAGAGAGAAGGGCTGTTTATGCATATGTCTTTCAACATTTTTATGCGTATCAATTTTAACGGGTAAAGAAGTTAAGTACATGTACCGCTACTGGGGAGTGTATATGAAACTTATGCTTTTACATTTTCATGAACCAAATAAGAAATAAAGTTTACCAACTTGTGAACCGAATCACTCTTGTTTGAAAAAAAAACCAAGAACGATTGCAGATTAATCATAATTCGATCCTCATAGAAAATTGATTTCCACGCCATTGTGTTAACAACAGATTCTTGGACAATTAAATTTCTCTTTGAAGGCACCCTGGATTCAACTGGAAAAATTGTCTCTATAGATCTGTGCCAAGTTTCTGATTGCCTCTAGCTCTCTATCTTAAGATTCATCGCCCTTCAAGTTAAATTTAGGATAGATAGGTTGAAATTAACATTTTATTGCTTATTGTTGTTGATGGATAGCAAAAAAATATTTTAAAAAATATTCTTCGCTAAATTGATTATGTAGTAAAGGGAGCATGATGTGTTCGGAAAAAAGTTTATGGTTGTTAACATTATATCATGTGTCTTAAAATTTTTTGAGTTCACTGCAACTGTTAAACATTCATGACAATGGCCATTAGAGGTGTACAGTATCGGGTTTGCAGAGTACATATAGTTAAGCAGTTAGGAAGAAAGCCTGAAGATGGCCTTTGTTGTATAAATGGACATTCTCTTTCCAGATGGTCATGGATCTGTGCGCGGTACAAATGTACCAATTGGATGCTAAACACGACATAAACCAATAAGAATGAGTAATAAAATCAATACAATTAATCTAAAAATTTAAAATATTTCCAGCACATACACTTATGGACTGACCCCCCCCCCCCCCCCCCCCCCCCCGAATCCACTATCAGAGTTTATAAGATCCTTTTTAATTATTTTCCCCCCGTAGATCCTTTTTATTGTAGGTATTTACAATGTATTTCTCATGCAAAAAATCGAATGGTATACCACGTACTGATTGCGTATAAGAAATCAGAAGAATAATTGAAGAGAATAACTTAAAAAAATTACTTTGACATAGGGTCGGAGATTTGTGGGAGTGGGTCCTGTTCACAATTAAGTACCTGTAATTTTATGAACATGTTCAAAGTGTAACAACGGATATTATGACAGATGACTTAAAAATAAATGAATAATGCGTTGAAATGATTTTGATTGTAAAACAAACAGTCCTACATATACGTTTTTATTTTCTTTTTAGATGTATCTTGTTGACATAATATTTGACCGTATATATCAAAGTTAATGATGGCGGAGAAAAGAAATTGTGAAGGAGCGACGGAGGATGTTGCAAGTGTAATATTTTTTATGCAATAATTCACAATAAAATGTACAATTTTGTTTTAAATTAACAGCAAAATTTTTGCTCTTCAACATTTGCTAAAATGATGAAACACTTTTTTCAATCCATTTTTCTTATATCATGAGACAGAATCTTAATGATTGGATGTTTAAGATAACTCACATTATTCTATCAAGTCTCTTCCAATTGAACTAGTATTTCATCAATAGGACAGTAAAAGAAAACGATTGGATAGGAACACCTTTGCTGAAACAAAAAGCGATATTTCTGATGATACAGGAAGCAACATTTCTGATGATACTAGTACTGAGTACGACATTGGTGAGCATCAGTTTTGAAATGAAATTTAACCTTTGAGCACTGATTTCAAGTTCTTTTCATTAAAATTCAATGTTTTGGTTAAAACACCATCTTAAAGTTTTGTCAGATATGAAATATTGAAATATTGTTTGTATTGTTTAATTTAAATCTTGTGTTTTTTTTTTTTACTTTTTTGTGCTTGATACTGATATCAGAGATAATTACTAGCATGTTTCTTACAGATCTGTTATCAGATTTAACAAGGAATCAGCTTGTCGTTCTCTACACCCTGTGTCTGTGTCGTGATGATGAGGGTCTAATCCAGCTGTATGATGATGACGTAACTATGGGAGACATTAATGTGAGGAAGACAGTGGAGGAGCTGGAGGACATGGGACTGATGGAATACGAACACGTCTACTTGTGACAATTCAATCTTACAAAGAGAATTGTTTACTGAGTGACGTAGACCAAGACTTCTTTATAGACGTGGCCTCCAAGGACGCCTTATATTGGTATATGAAGTATGACCCTATCATTAACCGTGATATTTCAAGTCCACAAGACAGTAGATCTATATCATTATTGAAACTGATGATGGAGGAGAGGGTGGACCTTGTAGAAATTATTACAGTATGTAGGTATCCTTCAGTTATATATGTAAAGCTACATGTTACAAAAAGTAATTACACTTAAATCTGCAACATATACTAGTATATGATAAAATTTGACTATTTTCCAACAGTTCAGTTGATTAGGCATATTGATTTAAACAGACGAGTGCAATTAAAATAGCTAAAGGATAAATTGCATAAATTTTTCCAGGGACCCCCTTCTTCTTTGAACTCTCTTTAAATCCACAATGACTTTGATAGTTTCAAACAAGAGTGAATTACAAATACACCATATGAACAGTTTTTAACAGTCCGTATACTTTTTGAAAATGATGAATACCGTAGCTTCCTTATTTTTTGCAATTACTTATGCTGTCTTCTCATCATATGCTATAGATAATAAAATAGAGAGTCGATGATTAATTGTAAGCTTTTACATTGTGTAGCAAGTATCAAGGAAGATGAACATCTCAAAAATCAATCAATTATCAAAATACTATAACGTGGTTCTTAGTAGATATTATAATTAACAAAGCTTTAGATTAAACAAATTTAGTTAATAACGAGAGGTCCATGGACCTAAATGATCACTACGGAGCAGATTCCAAAGCATTTTCAGTATAAAATTAGATCTCCCACTTGATTCTTGGAAATGCTCCCTTGTCAATCATACCTATACAGCTCAACGCACTTTTTAAACTCACATGGTTTTTTGCGCAAATTAAGGTCACATTGTTATAATGCAAAATTGTGTAACATGACAACAAACTGTATTTTAACACTGATTTATAATTTAATTTTAAACATAGTTCACACATAATAGTTGGTAGGATTTTTATATGCGCTTAGATTATATATATTATGAAAGTTTCCAAATAGTTTTCCCATGGTTTCTCGTCAAATGCAACCGTCTTTGTATACGTTCATTTTAAAGCATACCTTTTTGCCTTAATACAGAAAAAGTGCAGATCATGTAACTTCTGCATTTTCTGTACATTAACATGACACTAAGGCGCGAGGTGATAGAAGTCTTTCTGATCTGTTGACTGTTTTCCATGTTAAAAAGATGGCATTTTTTATGTTAACTTCCTGAAATTTAGCATCATGAAAGATACCTTTCAACGCAAAATTTTTAAGTTTCAGACTATAAATCTGAATGAATTTTCTTTTCAATATTTACAATTTACTATGTTGAAAGATACACAATACTTTAATAACCGATCCTTTCTTTATGAAGACTTGTCATTTTTTGGCGCAGCATTTCGACAAAACCAAGACAAGTATGGAAAATGTTTAGAGTATCTAGAAAAATACTCTCCTTTAAGAAGTCAATCTAAACATTTAAACCAAATTGTATCAAAGAAAGTCGATTAATTAATTTGTAAATACCTTTGATGGAATCATACACATTTAACATCATAAAATTTATATTCAAATTCTCTTTTAGAACATTGTTTTTAACAACTTAAGATAATGATTTTGAACATGAAATATTTGATAATATAGGGGTTATGTCTCGTTCTGAAACTCGATAATTTTAAGTTTTATTGCAAGAAAAATGTTACTTTCATTTGTGCGAAAAATTATGTGAGTTTAAAAAGTGCTTTTAGCTGTATAGCCACATGCAGATCATTGCTCAATAACCAGAGGAGATGATTTTCAAAGAGTTTACGCTTTTTCAATATATAATTCAAATAGACCTGTCCTAACACCAGAACCCATGAAACTAGGGCCATGAAATTTGTCATTTTTGAATAGGCACTCTTGATCATTATAGCTTTATATGTGGCCAGTCTGTTTAATACTGAGGAGTAGAAGAAGATTAGATTTTCAAAGAATTTATGCATTTTCAGTACATAATTTAAATAGACTCACCTTAACACCAGAACCCCTGACTCTGGGAACATGAAAATTGCAATTTTTGAAGTAGTAACTTTCCTCATCATAACTACATGTATGTATGTCGATAGTTTGTTTGATACCCAGGAGCAGAGAAGATTATTTTAAAAAATATATATATGTACAATCACCCTCACACGCACACACACAAACCCTCTCTCACACACGCGCGCACACGCGCACGCACATGTGCACACGTGCACACGCGAACAAGCGCACATGCACGCACGCACACACACACACACACACACACACACACACACACACACACACTCACACACACACACACACACACATTCCTATGTGACCAGTCTGCGCGATATACACACCAATAACTCACACAGAATTTTGAAATCATTCCATATTTGTTTCGATTTATTATTATGTTTCACTTTTCCATGGTCTTTTTTGACAGATGTCTTCATTAAACATTAATGCGATAATATATGGCTGCAAATCGTGTGCTTTTTATTCAAATTTACCCAATATATCATTAAGGAACAAGGTAAAAAGTTGAAGTAAGCATTTTGAGAAAAATAAATATTCTTTCCTCATACAAAATTAACGTAATCTTAATCTGCCGGAAATTCAAAGGTCGTACAATTTAGGTCTGTTTACTTGTACCATGTGAATTCTAAAATGGCACGCATACAATGTAGCCTCGAAGGGCTTACAATTAATTGCAATATTAGGTAAAAGCAATTCTCAGAATCAAAATATCATAACTCTCCAGTAAATAATAGTTAATAGCCATTTTCTGTAACCACTTAAACTTCGTTGCCACGCATGGTCACCGATTTTGATGAAACTTCACCCATGCTTAGTACTTGAGACCAGAAACAAATATCAAACAAAATTTCGTTGCTACGTCTCTCGTTTGCTATGTCAACAGCCGGAAACGTTTGAAAAAATCGAGATTTTCAGCCACTTTAAATCTTGACTGTGGCTTAACAAAAACTAGAAAAAGCAAAGAAACAATTCTCACAAAAACATGACACCTTTATCTCACTAATACTGTAAAGAAACTGTTTAGAATATATCTCTAAATTAGTGGTAACCAAGGGTACATTTGGAATACATTTAAAATGCTGAAATATGCTCAAAACACTCCGTTTGTACGAATGGTACGTATTACATGCTCAAACTCAGCGACTTAAGGAAAAACAATGAAAATGTTTGACCTTAAGTATATAAGTAAATGCAATATTATTCTACAAATAACTTTTATGGTGTGCCATGGTAACACAGTGTAACCATGCAAAACTAGTAACCAAGATTGGGTTAATGCTACTGTCCTGAGGAGAAGCATGAAAATTCAAGACTGGCAAATATGCATCCTTAGGACCATGCAAGACCAAAACCATAAGAAAAATTGGGTATAATTGCTACTTTGCAGTGTTACCTTGGAAACAAAGTACCAGTGCTTTAAAGTGAATTATTTTTCCCTGCATTAAGAATTAAGAATTAAATTGCCATTTAATCAAAAACAAATTAAAGGACTGAGCTTGAAAAGTACTCATTTGTTAGAACTGAAGTTAAATATCAAATATTGATAAAATTTGATGAATAAAACAACACTGTTGCTATGGTTACCAAAAAGGGAAAATATTCGATTTTGTGAACTTTGAATCAGTATTAAACCATGTGTGCCAACTTCTTGCATCCACTTAAAGATTGGATGATAGTCAAAATTAAAAGTCAAGTTGTTAATAAATACATGTATCAATCATAAAAGTTTTGGGAATCTATATTTAAGGGTACGTATCCAAGGAAAGAAAATATTTTTTTAGGTTTTTAAGCATATATTTTCTGCTTATTTCCATAGCAACGCTCTATTCAAAGAATCTACGCTGAATTTTTTAAATGAGAAAAAAAACCAGTCATTGCAAATTATTTGCTTTGCCGTAAATGTTAATTATGAGGCTCTAAACATGATAAAAAAATGCTATTTTTCGAACTTGAAGACATGTTGCCATGGTAACTATAAAACATAGCAACCGATATTTGCCTGATATTTGCCTGATTTCAGTTTAGGGTATCCATGTCTTTTATTACAGAGAGTTTGGAGAAATTCTGAGACTATGCGTTCCACAGCTCCTATATAAAATTTCAAATCATTACAGAGAATGGCACTTAACATTTAATTCTGCATTCAGACGAACTAAACGTGATTAAGGTAAAGATCCATACCACGTAAAATAACGTTATGTGACGTTATTCTCGTTTGTGACGTTATTACGTCAAACGCGCCCGACGCTTATTCTATCAAAAATGCCTGACGTCGATTTCACTTACCGTAAAAAAAAAGGTACATTAATTTCCAAATAAAAGGCATTTATAAATATACGATGTTCAGTTATTTTCCGGGATGCATGATCGAAGGAGAGTTTAAATTTAGATGATTCGTCAAACCGAAAGTACAACAAAGATGGCATGGAAGGAAGATTCATTGTCTCGAGTACAAGATATCTAAAAGACTTCGACAATCGGGTCGTTTTTTGTCTCTGTAAGTTGAAGAAATACAGAGTAACAAATAAATGGTTCTCTTGTCGAAAGTCATTATCGTTTGCTTACATGTTTGTACATAGGCCTAGTACGTAACCATTTTCGAACCACGTACGGCTCAAGTATTCAGGTACCTAACTACTTTGCTTCAATATTCCGATTTTTAAAAGTCGTTTTTCTCTTCTCGATTGTTTGAATTAAAATATCGTCCTCAGGGGATTGACTCGGGATTTTGAAAAAAAATTTGGAAAACTTTTTTTTACAATGTATATATCATACATAAAACAGTTACTGCACAAATATAAATGTTCTGTTATTTGGTATATCCTTGCACTGAAACATAAAATAATTATTGATAAAAAAAAAAAAACAAACAGAATATTTCATTTTAGTAGGAAAGGACATTGATACATTGCCAAAAAAAATTCCTTAATACACACATATGCTGAAAATTTAGAAAAAAAAATTGTTTTAAAGCTAGCTATAGTGCACAATAACCTTAAAGTATATTAGGGTAGTGTATTGGTGCACCTGTCATAAGACTGACAGGTGTCCTGGGTTCGATTCTCTGGAAGTTGAGTAACAAATAAATGGTTCTCTTGTCGAAAGTCATTATCGT